CAGCGGCTGAAGAGAATCACTTCTGGCGTACGTTACTTTCTCTTATCTTTATGTTCCTGACTAAATGTCATCATCTACTAGTAGGACTATAAGTTAAGTTTATGAATATCCGTGAGTGCGCAGTTCGTTGCACGGAACAGGTCGAAAGAGAAACTTGTAATTGAAAGTCATGCTTGGTTTATCATTAAATGTTTTTTTTCAGAAACCTTAAATATGTATGAAAACCCGGCTTATTCATACACAACACAAGCAGATTGGTCAATCGGGGGATTAACTAACACCGGCGTTTAGTTCGTGTCTCATGTCCCATTTCAGGGTGGACAAAGTTAATTTTCGCAGTTAATTCTGTTGTCGGCAGCTGTTATAACGTCTGTAGTCATAAGGCTGCAAACAAACTGTTCTTTCATAGATCTTTCAGTTTTGAGCATGGTGACCAACGCACGAACGAAATACTCATTCTTCGGATAAATTTATAAATTTCTTTTAGCAATCGTCCTCAGTGTAATTTTCGGTTCTTGGCAGCTTCATTGTAATAAATTTGTCATTTTTTACTATGGCAAAGATGCAGTCCAAGTTATTTGAAAGTGCACTTCGTTTTATTTAAGCCGAAGTTAAAGCTGATTGCATCTGAATTGCAATTTAATGTTATTTTGCAGTAACTTAAACTGGTGCAATGCTTATAGCTTTCTTGTAGTTTACCTTTTTTCCTTACAGAACGGCTGTTCTCAGCGCTGGTGTCAGGATCATTATCTGAACTACAGAGGTCTTTGTCGATGTGTAGAAATTCGGCTGCAATTGCTACGCTTTTTACAAAAGTTCAATGTCCCCATCGCATCCTGCAGAGGTATTGTTGGAGCTTGTTGTTTTGTGTATGTGAGTGTATCGCGATAGTTCAGGACGCTTGGATTGCACGGACCGAATTGCGCGTTGTCTCGTTTCTGGTTTCTTCAGTAATGCGGCCAAACTACACACCACTGGTCTGTACCATACTGTGAGAGAGAACTTCCCGCTAAAGATTTACAAAGGTTCGGCCATCATGTACCGCAAGGAATACCCTCCATGGTAACTGTCGAAGAATTGTGTTGTTCACATTTTTGCTATGTCTTTTAGGGTTGTTTTTAACGAGGTGCTGTCTAACTCGATGCGGGATATCACAGTGATCGATCCCCATTTACTGTGTGAAGTTGCACCTCATTTTTATGAGTTTGGAACGGTAAGGAACCTGAATTGTTTAATGACAATGGCTGATTGTTTGCAGCTTCTAATGTTGATTTCATTGGTTGGTTCAACACACATAGTAATGAATGTTAAGTCACACGGTCGCTGAATGCTTGTAATTAGAATTCCCAGTTATATCGATTCTAGATGTTTCAGCCAGTCACAAGTGCTTTCGACCTGCCCCAAGATTCAGTAATGTTTTAAACTCCTAGGAAAGAGACTACGTATTTTGTAATATTGTTATTTAGTTGTTGTCATCGTCATCTGGGGTATCACGGTTAAGGACAGAGTATCCAATTTAGTGATGTCTAACGCGTTGACTCCTCAGAATGATTTGGGCCATGTTGGTTGCTGCGGCTAAGGTCATGTTCCTGGTCGCAAGCAAATCCGACTCTATCAGCTGCTTTAGGGTACAGTGTTTGACTCCGACGTGCCTACGGTTATTTCTTCCTTCCAAGAGCAATGATTTAGGATAAGTCTCCATTCTCTCTCCGGATCGTTCTGTCCAACCGCGATAGACGCCGGTCTCTGATTTATTTCAGACTGCTTTCTCAGGCAGGTGTCTCCAAGATCTGTTCATTCTTAATTCGATGTAACCATTTCACTTTCAGAATGTTCCGCATGTAGCGTTGCTGGAAGTGTCCAACATCTTTTCATTGCGCTTTGAAAGAGCTTATGTTTCTAAGCATCAGAACATCAGGATTGAGAAGTCGGTGGCTTTTAGTATGGCGATCTTTGTTGCTCTCCACATAGATCGAACTTGCCACACTTTAAAAGTCGCCCGAAGTTCACAGATGCCAACCCTAAACACCGCTCTACTTCCATGTCGCATCTTCCATCTTTTGCCAGTACAGAACTGAAGTATTTAAAGTTTACGACCTTTTCGATGGTCATTC